TTTTTTTTTTTTTTTTTTAGGTTTTTATGCATCCATTATATACATTTAATTAAAAAATATATAAAGGCTATATATATAAAAAAATCTTTTTTTAAATCTAAAGTGTTTTTTGAAGCAGAGAAGAACAATCGTTCAGTTTGGTATATAGACAATTTCCATATTTTATAAAACACCTGAACTGACCGTTTTTTTCTTTTTTATGGCTTAATGAGAGCAGTGGGCTTTGAATGGAGACAAAGCCATTCTCAAGCACATATCAAGATGCTCATTTTGAGCCTGGATTGATATTTATTTTTGATTATATTCATGGTGGAGAATCCTGCTTCACAGCAACAGATTGAGCCAGACATACTCAGAATGTGCAGGGTCATCTTTGAGCACGCCATTTCACTTTTTTTTCACCAGCTCACTGTGCTTCTTCCAGCAGTCCACACTTTCTCTGCTCTCTTTTTCTCATCGTATTCTTTTTTTCCTCTTGGCCCGGCTTGCCACAGGTTTGCCTGCTGTGTTTAAAAATGGGTCACAGCAGTGACCCAGACTGACAGCAGCTCATTGGTTAATTTGTGTCACCTGTAGCCTGGTCCCTCTGGAAGGCTTTACCATATTAACAGAAGAAGCAGTGCAAGTGAAGTTAGACAATGTCTTCAGACAACATGCGGTAATTTATAAATGTTTTAAATCAGTTTGGGTCCTGATTGTCCAGCCGGTGGGTCCGGATCCGGATCGTGGTCCGCTAATCTGTGACCTCTGCACTAGGCCAACACTCCCACTCAAAAACAAGAAATTTATTTTCAGCATTAACTTTATTCTCATTTAGAGATAAGATCATCTAAAGATTTTGATTATTGCCATGAGCTACTCAGAATGGCAAACTAAGAAACAAATTAACATAAATTTGTGAATTTTAGATGATTAAAACTTATAGTAATGGGATAAGAGGACATTAAAATTTTTAATACATTTGAAAATATAATAATGAATGTGGCAGTAAATTTTGTAATATCTTCTTTACTGATATCTTAGACATGAGGCATATTCATTCATAAAGGACCAATTACACATATGAAATACCAAGACGTTACAGTTCAAAATGGATAAACCATTAACAAAGAAATCATCACATAAAAAACAAACATAAAATACAGACATTAAAACTTAATTCTTCTTTGGACAAAAGTGTTTTTAATCCAAATTAATATTTCACACTCGGAAAGTTGTCATATTGAAAATGGACATTTTTTAAAATCAGGTTTTTGATCAAAAGCTGCTGTCAGTCGAAATTCGTCAAGGCTAATTTAAAGGAAGATAATTCTGCAGGCTTGATCACAGTAAATATTTTAAAATGAAAATAAGTGATCGGAATAAAAATGTCATGTAAAAATATCAGTTGAATTATTCTAATGAGATTTGGCAGGAACAAAATAAATCAATCGGACAGAGGGGTGGTTTATGGTGACGGACAATTAGATTGGCATGGATTTTTTTAATTTTGTTTCTCACAGTGGACATGCACCTACGATGACAAATTCAGACCCTTCCATGATTTCTAAGTGGGAGAACTTGCAAAATAGCAGCGTGTTCAAACACTTATTTTCCTCACTGTATCCCCCTATAAA